ATCTACTAAAGGGGGACTATAATAGTAACTACAAGCAAGGCGAGTCCTTCACCAGGAATATCAAAACCGGCTTGGCATCAAAAGGCAACCCTACGCCCTTACCCTTATGAGCTATAGCCTAAGCTCCTTAAAGGGCATTATATAGGGGAGCCTTATAGGGACTCGGGGATTTAGGGTCTAGGGTAGGGGAGCTTTATAGTGGTTATTAATTGGCAGACTGAGAGTCTAGACAATGGCTTATATGGGCACCCCAACGCAGCACTGTAGACCCTAGTCTCCGACAAAGTGTTGTCAGGTTCGTGAACAGGATCTAGGCAGTAATAGTATGGGGAAGGAGGAAGCTTGCAAAGCATAATAATCGAGAGAACTCCCAAGCTAGTGTGTGGAGATCTGGTGTTCACTGTTACATTTGATGTTAAAGATTTGGTTGATGCATTACAAGACCCTCTATGACTTGACCGCTCGCTAGGCGAAGACCCAACAGCAAAGGCACTTGCTGGGAAAGCACATCCGGAATCTGTACATCTGCATCGACAAAATGTGAACGAATTGAGGCCTGACTGTGATGAGCTTCTGACGACAGCCTGCGAATTGAAAGCAAACCCCTGGTAGAGCAGGCATGCGAGGTAAACGCAGTCGTAGCCTCACATGCATCCATAGAGGGCCTGTCCCCTGCGACGCAGGCTCAGCACGATGTCCATGGGTGTCACCTGAGAAGACACGTCTGATAAGATTGCATCGTTCCGCCATCGCTAGCCCCAGGGAAAGAGTGATCACTCCCCCATCTCAGGATTCTGCCGGGCGCGCGCCTCTAGGACCCACTGCGCCGGTCAAATCATGAAGAACATTGGTCAGAATAGGGCCCTTATTGCACTCTGTGTCGGAAAAACCCAGCGAACGATCAGTTTCTAATTGTCCCTGGAATACTTCCGGTCTTCAGGGGGGAGCTTTATCAGGCACACCAAACCTCTTAGCAACAAGCAGGTATTCAGTTTGAGCCAACGTTTCTCCAAGGTAGAAACGCTAGCCAAGGAAATGAAGTAACCTGAAAGCGCCATCCAATCCGGAATGTCACTGCGTAGACCCCCATCTACCCTCTATATGCCAGTATTAAGTATCATGTACTCCGATTTGAGGGTACACTGAGGGTCCTGGTGCTGATTTATGCTTGCACTTGTCCGTGTCCAAAACGACGAGCTTGTATGGCAGTCAAGCCACTGTCTTTCGTCGTGCATGCTCGGCATATACAGCCGCATCGATCAAGATCTTCCGCAGGAACCCTGTGACCACCTTCGACCACCATGGCACAGCCATTACAAGAGCTATAGTCTAAACTCCTAGTATCCCCCTTCATAAACCCCATAATCGTACCCTATATGATTCCCTGTACAACCCGCTTCAATTCAAGGAGTTGAGACTATAGCTCACATGTACTTAGGGTCCAGGCCGTAGGGTTGAAGGTTTCGCCGTGAACCACTAAAACTTCCGCGTATAGCGGCATCTTGCCTGCAACAGGAGTCCCATGGCAAAACCTTCGGTAGCAAAAAGGCATGGAGGGTATCCCAAGCAATCTGGGGATGGAAGGGCTAGAGGGAGGGACATTGAAAAACATGCGAATGATGTTGACACGACCAGCGTGAATTGCTGTCAACTGCGGCCTGGTGGGCTAGATCAGTGGCTGGCCACACTTCTGACATCTCCCAGCCCCAGCCAACATGGAACCTATTCAATCATGCCTCTTGTTTATCTCTCCGGACTGCACGCAGATGCATCCCGCAACAATCTTGTCATCTCCCCCCAAACCTACACCCTAAAACCCTAAACTCTATTTTGAAATTGGTTGCGTATGTGGATGTACTATGGTGGAGATAGGGAAGTGCCGTCTGACGTAGGGATTTGCGGTCTAGAGCGTAGGATGCTTTGAATGGGGAATCCCAACAAACCTTTGATTCTCCATGTTGCCTGTCAGTATGATTCTGCCATACTAGGAGTACTATCCCTACATATCCCCGACATGAAAGTGGGAGTGAGGGCCAAGATTAAGGCTTCAGGGAGCTTTGGTTTTGGAGCAGGTTTGGGACCCTTGGCTTTCCTTCGATAAGGACATGGTCATTAGCAAGATCATGGAGCTTGGAGCCCTAGATGCACCCAAATGCCCCGCGCTTGTCTTTCATATATGAGTTATATAATGCCCTATATTAACCCCCCTTGAAGGAGTTTAGACTATAGCTCATATACAGACCCCTGCATAGAGCCCAACTCTTTTGCTACAATATGTAATGTCTCGGAGGCGACTTGAAGCAACTACTGCTGAAGCTAGTGCTAATAGAGCTTCACCTTCTCTGCTACTACGGGCACTTCTCCCCTCCGCTATGTAAAACACCATCACTCTTCATGCAACGTACTTCCGATTATTGTATTACAATACCAAGTAAACGGAAAGCATATGACCGTGGATTTACCTAGCAAATAGCATTTGAGGTAGGGTGTAGAGGGTTTAAGGTTTAGGGCTGGGGTAGGGGTTGGTGGTGCGGCGTTGCACTTTCAGGACTTGTGGCGCAGGTGCAGGAACTACACACATTGTCCGTGATTGCGAGGCACCCATCTTCTGATGAGGCCAAGAGAACCCAAACCTCAAACCTCTTTGGTTTGGAGCACTTGAAACCCCGCATGTATCTGAAAATATGCCTGTTTAAGTGAACCGGTGACATCCCCATACATGCTCCATACACCCATACACCCCCAGGGCTGCTCCCATTCCATACGCGAGAGGAGCTTAAAAGTAGGGGACCCCGCAATAGCCACTACACAACCATCTCTCATAATAACCCAGGGTCTATAATTACTACTTTTCAGTTTTTTTGGGGTCTAGCTGGAGTCGCTGCCTCCCGAACTTCCTCGTAGATTGTACCGGACATGCGCTGGACACCGGCGCGTCGTGCCAGGCGCCTGCTGCATTTGGGAGCACAGGGATTATGGATCAGGGCATTCGAGTCTGAGGGCTTTAGGATTTGGGTTTTAAAGTTTGCGGAGTGCAGTGTAGGTTTCCGGGAGCTACAGACCTGAGAAGATCGTGAAGCCATGGAATCTCATGCTTGTAGGCTTCCCTTGCGACGACTGTTGCGAAAGCACTGTGCGACCTTCTCGAGAGACCACCTTGAACTTGAGGCGGCGCAGTATCGCGCCTAATTTTTGCCAAATGCGTTCCATGCCTCTGCCTCTTACCACGCAGAAACAGAGCCGCAGCTTCGGCACTTAATTCACACTACACACCCTCTAGTTACATTGGCATTCATAGCTTCCCTCTCAAGCCACCCACTGAAGCTGCTGAAATCAGCTGCCTTAGTTGTCATGATTCTGCTGCGCAGCTTAGCTCCCTAAAGCGCCAGTACCATTGCAATTGCGGATGGCCTGTGTCTCTTGAGGACGGATCGCGAAAGGATACTCTTGCTGAGTCTTCGCTCGTCTACACCTCTTTACCCCTACATCTTTGGCAAACATACCTAGAAGGGAAGACACTTTGGAGCTCCAAAAGTTGGATTCACCACTTCTAGAATTGAAATATACATTGGGCTTAAATAAGATCTACTATATGGCTTCTGAGGCGATCTAACTCTTGTATCGATTTCGGGAGTCGGGGCAGTAGCTAATCAGGAAATCGTGTGAGCCAACCCCGAACCGGAACAGCTAAACACCAGGCTTGCATTGCATTGCCCTTGTTAGTTTCTATTTGATTTGCAACTTTGGGTAGTTATTTAGGGTTGACAAAAACCTCCATGTTCATGTCAGAGGACTTTTCTCAAGGCAGTACTATGTAGGTAATTCTTGATAGGGTTGGTAAATATTACCATTATCATGTCGGAGGACTCAAGCCCTTAACCCTAAGTCCGTTTCAGCTGGCGCCTCAGATCGGGCTTCGTGATGCCCCGCCTGGGCTCAAACCAGGGCTGACTTCTTCCGGATTTTAGGGCGTAGGGGTTTAGGTCAAGTCCGTCAGCCCTAAATACCGAGTAGCTGTCATGGGTCACTTCAAAAGATATGAAGTAGCCTCAATACACAAGGGGGACCGAGTTGAGTATATGCACCGAAATGCTTCACTCCTCGCTACGGGGCCCCGCAGACAGGACCCCTAATTTTTAGACCTCGCCATTTAGCTGTATGTGAGAATATATATATATATATGTATATACAAGGTTGCATATAGCGAATGCCCCACGAATGGTGCATCAACTACAAAAGAACCTTGAACAAGAAATGGAAACTGAGATAACATGAGGCTTTACAGGCACTAGGGTGCCTCAGAATCTGGGGTCCGTTTTGCGGGGTTCCAAAACTGTTTTGATGCTCAAGCAAAAGAAGGAGATTCTTGTTTTGGAAGCTCCGCTGTATGGAGGTTTCACCCCCCTCAGCCTCCAATATTCAAGATGCACTCCAGTACATAAGGCCACTTGCTCGGCACATCCGCTGAAGGACACAAACCTACATGACCCAGGCATGTTCTATGTACTACCACAATGCACACCTTGGGAATATGGGTCGTGCAGGATTTTCTAGGTTTAGGGGCACCCATTATACATCTCCCTCTCTAGAACACGAAGCCTTTGCAAACCCTGATAACCCTAGTCCGCCATGGATCCTGCAATCCCAATGAATCAGCTCCTCCCTCCCCTCCTGATAGGTATCATGTATAATGCCCCTACACTGGGGGTATTTGATACCAGGGTGGTGTCGAGGTTTCGCTCTTAATCTAAACCCCCTCAATAGCATAGCAATTCCCGTTTTTCTGTTCTATATATATATGTATATATGTGTCTACTGAACCTTTTTGTTATTTGAGGGGCCTGAATAAAATACTACTTTCCGCTTTCCTTCTCCATTACCCTTTAAACCCCTATGTGCCCCCTTTTGGGGGACTGAATGTACGTTGCCATGCTCCTACATACCCCCATAATCCCTTTTATTACTCGGGGGACCGGACCAGCGCTGCCGAGCTACAACTGCTGCTCCAATCTCGCCTTTGCTTCCTGGATCAGTTTTGGGAGCAAAAGTAGGTACAATGATGTCTCCAAACCCATAGAAAGAGCTACGTATCTGGACTTCAAAAGTAGGCAAAGATGACGGCTGAAAACCCGTGAAAACAGCTGAACGGACTGTTATTCTACATGCTGTTGGGGTCCAGGTGGTACTTTGCGTTGGGTTTTGGGCTCACTTGAAAAGATCGCGGCTACCTATGGAGAGTGTACAGGGGGACCTTGAATTTGAGAAACAGGCGCCTGATCAAATTAGTGCGGCGCGATTATGGAGACAAGTTTACGGTGCAGTCATTCGATAGCTCAATTTCGAATCCAGAAGCCCCTCTTCCAAGAAGTCTCAAACCAAGAGTACCGCAAAGCCCAAAGTAGCGCAGTAGAGGATATGTGGCGGCACGAGGGGCTCCCGAAAGGGGGCTGTAGGTGACAACTACTCCCGTGACCGGCACCCCAAATCCCAAACCGCTTAGGTCCCTCAGATTCAAGAACGGCACAGCTTCCTGCCGTCCCTTTGCTCCGCCCTTGCCGATTGGGGTCGCCTCGCACATGAAAGCCCTACCAAATCCTACCGTGGATGGAAAACTATTGCACCAGAATACCCGTAATCATGGTGCAGGTATGGAGGGTCATGAGGGATTCTGCCCATAGACCATGTTTTTGGTGGTCATGGAAACTGTTGTGTAGGTTTTGCGCGCATGTTGGATTGAACGCTTGGCATGTATGAGGCGAAGTTTGAAAATCCTTGGGAACACTCTAGTAGTTTCCATTTTCGTTTCCATTATCCCAATAGTCCCCCGATATACTATATATCCTCGTTTCCATTTTTCTTATCCCCATATATTACCCCAACATACTCTATATAGTCGTTTCCATTTTCTTTTCCATTATCGCTATACTATCCCAATTTTCCCATGTAACCCCTAAACGCTAAACCCTAAACTTGCCATTTTAGCGTGACGAATTCTGACATTCTGAGGTTTGGCAGACCCAGCGCTCAAAGTCAAATCCTACATCCTGAGCCCGGAACCCTTTTGGGTTGCTGTTAAGGAAGTTAAATTAAGTTACCATATGGGTATATATAATAGTTAATAGGGTTTCGCCTAATATAGTAACTTAATTTAATGTAGGTCCAGTATAGGCTATACTGGACCTAAACCTCAACTAAACCCTACCCCTGTCTTGCACCTTGCTGTGCTTCCAATTTCCATTGGTTAAGCCCTACATAGCCCTAGCTTCCATTTCATTACCATGTTCTTGTCCAGTAGCTTCTCCACTATAGTAGCTTCCATCTTGTTTGCCATTTATACAATTTTTCTCCCCTAGATAAACCTTGTATGACCCCTATATAACCCCTGTATATCCCCTGTGTATCCCTATATAACAATAACCCCTACATGAAGACCCTACTATAGTCTCTAAACCTGCCAGAACGAAACGGATGCTCGGAACAATGCAGCACTTGGAGGGAAAACCTAGCTTTGCTGTGCTACGACGATGTCTAGTCACAGTATGCTCCTGGGTCAGGAAACGCCGGTTGTAGATGGCTATAGATTAACTAACTTCAGGGCTCCGGAAGTCCGAGAGCGCCGGAAGGGGTGCCAGGAACAACTCAATCCTAGCTTCCCATGACGTGGTAACATGTATAGCCGTGCCTGGGACCGCGTGCTTCGGATGGTAGGCTTCTGCACAACTTTCTTTGGGGCAGGAGCCGCCTTCTTCTTCGCAGCTACCTAAGCAATATTCGTGGTCAACCTCTCATTCTATCAAGGTTGACCTCGCGCTATGCAATACTCCCTGGGGCTCCATGTCTATAAATAATACCTGCATTGGGCCCAAATGTCTATCAATAGTACCTACATTGGGCTTTTTGGAGTTTTAGGGGTCAGGGACTCCTGCCATCTTTTTTGCGTTTTTGAAAATCAGCAACGACACAGGACAACTGTCTAGCCATGATCCAGCTACGGCCTTCTTGCTGGCAGCTGCCTTCTTGCTGGCAGCAGCCTTCCTCTTTGGAGACACATTCTTGCCTGAAGCCGTCGGCGCCTTCTTCAGAAATGCGCCTTCAAGGCATCAGACTATACCGCTTGAAGGGCACGACAACAAACTGGATTGACGCTCTCTTTCTAGGACCCATGCAGCCCTGGAACCTTCACAGAATTCCGTACCATACCCCTAACTATCGGCTATGTATCCTTTTTTCAGTGTGAGAAACGCCAACGTGCAGCGGAACCTTCCTCGACCCCACACCCCGAGCCAGAGCGCCCTGCATGGCAAAGGTAATGTGTTGGAATTTCGTGGCCCAGGGCCCAACGCACCTTTGGCTGAGCACCAAATACTGCGGCGCTGATTCCGGCTTAGCACTGCGCTGGACACCCTCCAGGACCCTTTAAATTCGTGGCTACACGATAAAACCCAGCTTTGCAAACACGATAGGGGCTGCACAAACTGATCCAGCAAACCTTGAGCTTCAACTGAACTGCAGATGCTCAGCGTTGCTGTCAGTATAACTGGTGTTATTGCCACTATCATTACTAGCATTCTTATGGCACCCGAAATCTTCAGTGCGGCCTTTGGCCCCTTTGGACTCTTTCACTTTAGTGGTAGGCATGGACTTGAGAACCATTTTCGCGATGTCCCTGATGCCATCCTTCCTGGGGCTTGGCATTGAGGGTTTAGGGTTTGCTCTCATGGGCAGTGCGGATTGGATTCTGGAGCCGATCTCAATGAGGACCAGAGTAGTTGAAGGGCTGGGCTGCAGGGCACCGTGAAATGATTGGATTTAGAGGTTTTTCAAAATCAGAGCGAGCCCTTTTACACTTCCCAAATGGCGGATTTCTGAAAGCAATCCCCCGGAGACACATTACAAACTCCATCCTTCAGTTGCTTGATCGTGAAGGCTTCTGGCCGCCTGAGCTTCAGCTATTTCCTAAGTCCTAAGGTTTGAGCCCATGGGATACACTCCTGGGAACTAACATGGAAACCCAAAAGGGATCCTGTAAAGACTACAGTCCCTCCAAATTGGGGCTATATGGGTTTCCATGTTAGTTTGGTGGAGTGTAGTTGCAGTTGGTCGGTGCTCAGGCCCATTGTAGGGATGTTTCCAAAACAGGGATTCCCAAACATGTCCAAAGCAGAATTCAGCTGTCTTCCAAGCATCCCCGCAAGGGGACTCCAAATTGTTGGAGACGGCCTCCCATTATAATCCCGTATATTACCCCTATATAACCCCCTATATTATCCCTACATTATCCCTGTATAACCTCACATAATCCCCACTATAATCCCCTATATTACCCCTATATAATCCCCCAGATTACTATTACCCCTATATAACCCCCTTTGTTATCCCAGTAGTATATGGGTCACGGGCCCATTAGGCTGAATCCGGCCTTGATAAGCAGCCCGGAAGGTTCATGGTTGGGTTAATAATCCCCCTTAAGTAGATAGAATATGGGGTTTAGGATTTGGGGTTTAGGGTCCCCATTAAGTAGATAGAATATGGCTTTGGGTTTATTATGGTAAGATACCCATATACCCCATATTCTATCTGCTTAAGGGGGATTATAGCTAGATTTGCAGATGCTGCAACAGCTGCGTAACGAGCCAGCCAAGGCGCACCCACAGCCCTGGGCCCGCGGGACGACTCCCTCTATCTTTTCTTGACATTGCTTCTATAGCATCCGCCAAAGTACCCTTAAGATCCAAACGAAAATTCCCTCCTCAATCAGGACGCCTATACATAATTAACCAGGGAGCTTTGGCAATGAACCCCTCAAATGCAGACCGTAGGACTATCACACGTCTCTGATAAAGTCCCCCCACTCTGGGAGTTGGGGTTACTAAAATAAACTTTTCCATATAGTACCCCTTAAGTAGATAGAACATGGCAGAGGGTAATTATACTAAGATTCCCATATACCCCTTTTCTATCTACTTAAAGGGGACTATAAACTTGCTTAGCAGCAGTTGCTGAACGTTCACTGCGCGGGTCTTCTCCGCGAAGTCCGGGGTTCCGGCCAACTTGTCGAACCTGGGTTTAGGGTTTAGGGGTTGGGGTTAGGGTTTAGGGTATAACAAGGACCCTCTCAGGAACCTTCATTGGGTAGATGGAGGGGCCGGCAAGAAGGTACGGTCCAGCAACAAGTCAAGGGTGTTTGTTTTGGATTGGGGCCATCTAATTGAAACCTCATAAGTCGCTGGAAGTGAATTTGCAAGTTTGTAGCTAGTGGCTAAACTATACTTATCACCCACTGCACGCTCGGGCCCTTGTACACGAAACCGCGTACCTGCTTACTCATGAACCTTCAAGAAGTCATGGGAACAAACTACAGTAGAATTTTCAGTAGATGATATTGGCTCTTGTAACCCAGGAGAGGAATTAGGGGCCTTAGGACAATCTGCTGCAAATTCTACTGTAAACAATTTAGTTGAAGAAAGGCTCCGGGTTCGACTTTCATACCGACTACTGACTCGCTCTCGCACGCTCGCTCTCCTTCTCCCTCTCAAGTGACAAGACTAAAATAGAGATAATATAGGGGACTATATTGGGCTATATAGGGATAATGTTGGGATAATAGAGGGGAGTGTATAGGGATAATATAGGGGGTTATAATGGGAAAATATAAGGGATTATAAAGGCTCACTCCAGTAAGTTGCTGAGAGCACCTGCTACTTGCAGTCTCCAGTGCAGGTAAGCTGCAACAGGCTTGCCATATTTCAACCTTGTCTCCACGCCCAGCTGGTGTTGAAGGCTTGGGCAAAAGCTTCGGCAGCGAAGACAGACCCTCACATCCCCAAGGTCCCTAAGGATACACCCTCTTTGGAGAGACCCCTCGTTTGTCTCAGCGACGGAATCTATTACTTGCCGTCCATCCCTCAGAAGAGAGAAATTGCTTTTAATATTCAACTTCACCTACCAAAACCTGGACATGCCCAACGCCCCTAACATGAGGCAGCATCTCAAATCATTCAGGGCGGCGGTCTCTTTTCTCAGATTCTCTGCTTTTATGGAGATATGACCCGTACACGTACGAGGTTTGATACTGAGTTGAGTGCGCGAACATCTATAACTGTCAGGCATATGAAGTCGAATACGAGACGTACAGGGCCTAACAACCTGAATAATCCAAATCTTCCCTTATGTAATTGAAATCCTGGGCGCTACTTCGTGAGATGCTGGGGCAGCTGCTTATGGACCTTCTGAAGAGTTCTGTTAGGTTCATCTAGTGTCACAATACTGGCAAAATTTCCTAAACCCTAAACCCTAATTCCTGCAACAAGAACGTGAGTCCAAGGGTAGCTCTCAGGACGTCAGCTTGCCCTGACCAAGCATCTTGGAATTAAACAAGAGTAATATAGGGATGATATAAGGGATTATGTAGGGTTACATAGGGATAATATAAGGGATTATATAGGATTACACAGGGATAATATACGGGATTATATAGGGATTATGTACGAGGTTATAATGGGATCCTGATAGGTCTCTCCCACAAGTCTGGCTGGCCATTCAGTATGACATAACCGTTGCCATGGAAGCACAGCATGCGTTTTGAGACGTCTACTTCCGCGGTGCCTGCATGCTGTCGTAACATGCTCTGGTCACATGGCGCAATGCCAGTAGCCTTTTCGACCACTGGCGTTGAAACATTAGGGTCCCTGTTGGTTCTCTCAAGCTGCAGATTACTCTAGCCTCAACCACCCTTGAAAGAGCTTCCTGTCTTGAGGTGTGGGGGACCGGGCTGGTTGGTGTGGGTCCAGAAAACAAGCACGTTGGGCGCTTGCACTGCGTCTGCATTGCTGTATTAACCATCTCAGGACATATGTACCCGTGCTCACATTCATTAACGCATCTGTGCCATTTGCCTTGGCAGCCTGCACACACCGATCAACTCCTCTACCTTCAAGGTGAGGCTCTGACTCAAGTCTATAAGAATGGCTCAGGAGAACTTGTGCTGTTTGAATGGAGAATCGAAACGGCTTTGTATGTGGGGTGTCCGTTTCGCACTCACCGTGGCAAAGGCGCCCCGTGGCTTCAAGATCCCAAACTAATGCGCCCGTGAACACCAATAATCAAGGTAGGCTAATGATCAACTGACTAAAATTCCCCCCTAAACCCTAAACCCTAATTTCAGCATCCCTCTCCACCCCATGTAGGGTTTAGGGTTTTAGGGTTCAGGGTTTAGGGTGTAGGGTTTGAGGCTTCGCGCCCTAGATGCACGAATATGATAACAGCAGTTTGGGATCAGTCACTAGTGGTTTTAGGCGGACCTGTAAACGTTTGCCAGGATCTGTGGCATGTTGTTGTTGTAGTACATGTTATAATCCCCGTATAATCCCTACATAACCCTATAACCCCTGTACACATGTATATATATATATACTATGTATATAGCTTTCTGCGGGGCCATTCAGCTCAACCTGCTGCCTACGATCTCCAACATGCAGGGTTATATAGGAATTATAGACCATTGAATATGGGATTATATAGGAGGGTTTAGGGTTTAGAGTTTAGGGATTATATAGTAGGGTTATATAGGGATTATAGATCAGTATGGGATTCTATATGAGAGTTTAGGGTTTAGAATTTAGGGTTCAGAGTTTAAGGACTATAGAATAGGCTTTTGCATTGGGCTTATATAGGGATAATGGAAAATGGAAAACTGCAATAGGGTATATGATAGGGCTATGTGTTGGGGTTATATTGGGATAATGGAAAATAAAATGGAAACTGCTACAAGGTGATAAAAACTACGGCATGTTTTCAGGGACCCAGAATTTCATAAACGGCCTTTGGGGCCTTATGCAGCCGGCACTGCATATCATGCATGGCCCAGCTCTGGTAAAGGACTTGGCAGCTGTCTTCTCTTGGATGTGAGCCAAGCCATGCAAGATTTGTGGTATCAACGGCATCACTACATCACTACGTCCTACATGAGATGTAGCCGCAAACGGGACTGCCCAGGTGCATACTTTTTGCATGCCTCTCACTAATCCATCTTCCCGTATGCCCCTGCACAGCCTTCTACTTGATTCTGCCGCCCTGATTCCGCTGTGGGGGAGTCTTCAGTGTTCAAGGGAGTTTCAGCTTTGGGAACAAGACTCATTAGTCACAATCGCCGGTGTCAGAGTATGGACAAAAAGCAACTTCCCGCACATGTGACCTTGATTGACACTTAAGAACCCAAATGCCCTTCAAAGGGCCATGACATTGCTGGTTAATCGGAGCCAAGGTTTGTGCTTTCTTTTCTCTTTATACATACTGTGAATATGAAACATCCTCCTGTTGTTGTAGAAGGACACCACAACTGCGGCCCTGCTTCCAGAAACGTCGACCGCGGAGGGGAGGAGAATTGCAAGTACAAGGGACGAATATTAAGGCTTTGCGTTCTTCCCTTGGGTCCTGCGCCCACCCTTGAACGGTCCAGAATAGGGATCATATTGAGGGCTATACATACATACATACATACATACATACATACCCACCCATATTATGAATACTATCAACAATTATGAAGTGTTATCAACTGTTGAGGAGTGGGAGCAGTACCCAAGTCTTCCCATGCTTTGCACTCTTTACACTTCAGGCTGATAAGCAACTCGCCTGCAGGCAAGCCTAGAAGCCTTCCACAGCCCATGTGTGATTTGCTGTATAAGGATTGTATACGAGCTTGTAGCACACGCAAGGCCACACAGTGCAGCTTTCTAAACAGAACCCTAGGCTATCACAGATGAGGGACCCAACATCTTACCGTCAAATAGCCTGGGCGGTCCTTACATGGTGACCACAGGATTGGGCTTCATTAACGCAATCTGACATCTCAAGGGCACCCTGCCAAAATCTACTAGGAAATACATTGATGCAACACATATCAGTCAAAATGCATATTCCTTGTTCACCTTCTTTTCCCGCAGAATATTCGCGCAGCTATTTGCGCAGCCTCAAGATTTAATGTGTCCTGCATCTTAGACAGATGTGGGATCTTATGCGGAATGTTCAATACTGGGTTTGGGTCGATTTTCCATATTTGGTTGGGGCTGCTAGAGGTGTAAACGCTTCCAGCCATAGCGCTGCCAGTTGGGCATGGGACATCCCAGCGGCAACAAAAGGCAACAAAAGGTTCAAACGGTCGGTTGCGAGACGCCAAGCTGAGCAATGTGTCACATTCTGTCCCAAATCCCGAAGAACCGTGATTTTTGGCAGTTGGGTCAGGTAAGTTGCTTCCTTCTTATTCCTCTTCAAGAACTGAAGCCGGAGCACATAAATAATCGAAGCCTTTCACTTAAAACTTTTGTAACCTTGCTTAATGTCTACCGAAATGAGCATGTATGCCCGTTCGTCAAACAAATGGGTTAAGATGACACGGGACAACCTCTAAGCCGCTAGTATGAACCCTCAATCCTGGGGTTCCCTATATGTCTAGAATATATCCTATAGCCTATATGGCTCAACGAGCCCATGTTGGGAGACACCCTAAACATCCCTAAACCCTAAACTCAAAGCCGCTGACGCGCACTTCGAGCCCTACTGCCACGCCGAAGCTTGCATAACCCTTAAATCTTGGGGCCCTAGGAACATCTGAACTCCCTGCACACCCAACCTTGTAAACCCACCACAAACTACATGACCAAATGAACCTACATCAGCTTCCACTTCCTACCTGCAACCACCAGTGATGTTGAATGCTGCCAGGCCCAAAAGCAAGCTTCCAATAATTTTACGATGTATGGGCGCAAAGAGGAAACGGAGACCTACTCCAGTTAAATTACCGTAATGGGTATATAGTAAACAATGCAAGTTACCATAATGGGTATATATAGTAGACAAAAGGGGACTGAACAATAACAAAAAACAAATGGAAACTACTAAATCATTATTGATTATTGGGATGGTCGACTCACCCTTCCTAACTGCCCTGCAGATCTTGAACGCACACAATCTCGCCCCAACCGTACAAACCTCCCTTTAGGTCCTATACAGGAGGGAATCCCCACATAGGCCTCATATAGCCCAAAAGCCGCCATGAACCCAATACACATCAACCCCGATGCAGGTTAGCATCTTGGGCTTGCTAGAACTCAGGGATCAGATGCTAAAGAATAGAAATAAAGAGGGAAGTTGTCAGTTCCAAATTACACGCAACACGGCAGGAATCTTGGACCACTACAAAGGGTACCCCACCCGTGGGAGAGGGGGGGGAGGGCGTGCCTTGTTTCTTCAATGGGCCACCTAGCTAGGGTCATGACCTTCTATTCTGCTTTACTTATATTTGGCTCTGCATAACCCTAAGGCGCAAACATCATGTAAGCCCAACGTAAACCAAATGCCAAAGCTCCGAGCCACATGCAGCCCGTATAGAACCCACTCCCATTCGCTAGCTGGTCTCGCTAGATGCATGCTCAGTGCCAGCAATGCCAGGCGGTAGAGGCATGTGAAGTGACCTTCAATGAAACAAGTTTTTCCTCCCCATTATGAAGCACCCATCTGCCATTAGTACGAAACACACATGATGGTATGAATGCCTTTAAGTGTAGAAATGGTGATGAATCTATTGACTGAGGGTGAGGGGCCTGTAATTTATAACGACCTCATCAAAGCTGTGGGTCCCTCAATGAATCCAGGGTCGATCAAGCGAGGTCTATAATCTTTTGATTGTTGTTTTGGGGTTCCCTTACCGTGGGGAGATGTCAAAAGTGCAAAGGATGTCTGTTGG